GCAAGGAAGCATTATCCTTAACTAGATAAACAAATATAGAGGGGGAGAGAGAGAAGCATAATTAGTTCCAAATTTTACTTACAATCCATCCCACTCGTAGTTGGTTCTCTCCACTTTCAACAGCAATTGTTGCTGAACTCTAATGTCCTGTTCCCACCACCTTCGGACTATAAATGTTTATTACGGCCTGGGCTGCTCTATATTTCTTGCCAGCATCTGCTTTTGCAATGATCCCTTCGAACTGAAAGATTGATGTTAATATTAGAATTCGAGTTTAATCTCTCAACAATTTTTTAAACTTCTCAAATCAAGATTATATTTGGACTAAAAAGGGAGCATCTAATTATCTTTGTGAAAATCTTACTATATAATAAAGATTGAATAGGGGTTTGGTGTTAACAAAAATATGCTAACATTTACCCTTTCAAAAATACTCTTGTAACATTTACTATTATCTATCCACGTCTTATTTGGAAAACTTCATACTATTACATAACTATCGCTACACTTCCTCGAATAACTAATTAATTAATCCACTAATGAACATTGCATCACTTTCCAAAAATCTCTCTAACTAATTTTTTATTATTTGCATTTTTATTATTTTTTAAAGATTCAGTTAAACTTTTCATTTTTACATAACTAGTTACTATAACTTGCCGACAAGAGCTTAATCTAGTGATTAATTAAGCTGAAGGATTTAAAGATTTTGACTTCAAATTTCCCTGTTTTCTTTCTACTTCTTAAGCCCCACCACTTCCCAAGTGGGAAATTTTTTTTTAATTTATAAAATTAAAATTTTGAATTATGGCAAAATAACTTGGAGAATTCTTCAATGTTGTGATAAAAGACTTTTGGAAGAATATAGAAACATATTAATCTAAAATTGAGGACAATCTTTACATACACAAAACATGTCTTACATCAAGGATGTCGCCAGAACCAAGCGAGTGGTATTTTAGGGCTTGATCCCCATGTAGAGCTCTCTTTTGTTGTTCTTTTGTCATTCGTCGAATAGGCACAGTTCCTTATGGACAACCTTGTCCTTCCAACCATAAGTCTTTTGGGTTAAATTTCGTAGTAATATGATTCTAGGGTATGAGTTTTCTCTTTTCCTCCATCTCTTCACAAAAGCTCATCTATTTAGACAAGAAGAAAGCAATAACTCGACGTAAAAATCAACAATAAATAACTATAGGAAAAGAGAAACAAAAAAGAAAAGAGAGATTTTTTTTTATGTTTTGGTCTAATAATCTCAATTGCAAATAAAATATGAGTAAATCTTACATAAACTGATAGTGTATATATTATCACAATTTAATTCATGACATGTGTATAAAAATTGAATTTCAAATTCATATTTTGCATAGTTGTCATTCATCTAACGCTAACAGTATATATACACTTTCAGTATAAGAAAGCTTAATCCATAAAATATTAAAACTTCTACTGTTACCAGTATTTTGTGATTGGATAATGTTGGATGGTTGAAAGCGGGCTGTTTGTATATATCGATGCAATTGTGAGTTTCACCATAGATAGTCTGCAAAGCGTCAAAATTCTTATAACACATTTAGACAAAAACTTTATTCAAATGTTGCTTTCAAATATAAATTGCTAAATAGAGGACTGGACTATATAAGTTAAATAGATCACCGGTATTGGGGACTAAAGATTCCTTGTTAAAGGCTGAAACTGATCTTGATCAGAATTTGGACTTCGTTAAATTTCACAAAATCATGTCGTTTTAAATGTGCATGTCAAATTTCCAAACTCAATACGATTAAATACCATGTACAATTTGTTACTTTGTGAAAGATGAAGAAAGTGGAATTCCGAAATATATTTGAACTACCGGAAAAAAACAAGTCAATCTCCATAGAAGACTGAGGTAAAAGAAAAAAATGAATAACTGCTTTTTTTTTTTTTTTTTTTTGTAATGATACTTATTTACAGCAGAACATAGTATAACATGGATAAACAAAAATCATACTCCTCTAAGTACAGGTAACCACTAGATAAATAATTCCGAAAGGCAAGTATACCATTTAGGCCAAATGTAGGCACCTTGATGTAGAATTCTATTTCTTTTTTTATCCAAGAAAAGACTTCAGACTTTACCAGGAGAGGGGAAGGGAAAGCCTTAAAATACAACTCTATTTCAAGCGTACCAGAAGACTTATGTATGTTATATATAAGACGAATTGTAAAAATACCTTTGCAATTGAGATTGCTTCATTGTTGTTATTTATTAATTCACCACTTCCTCCCAACTTTTTGCACTCCAACCTATCAAAAGTCAAGACAGAAATTAGAAAGGTAATGAAGATTACTAGGTGCATTTGATAAAATTGAAGTTTGAAAATTGAAATTTATAATCTAAAATTTGAAGTTGAATCCATTAAATTATTGAATTATCAAATACTAAATTTGATACATTTGATAAATGATAAGTGAATAGTTTATCATTTATTTTTAAGATAAGTTTTGTCCAGAAAATTTAGTACAATTTAATTAATTCAGATGTTCAATTTTTTGTTATCAAACGCATCTAAACATGTTAAGATCTGAATCCATTAAATTTAAGTACTGAATTGGATTATCAAATAGCGCCTAACACCATAGCTTTCATCAGCATATGTTGTTTTTCTATATAGTATGTGCCTTATTGAGACTATGAAACCTTTCTAATTAATTACCCCATCTTTTTTTTTATTGTTTTGGGATAAAGTACAAATTAATGACAGTTAACTGTCATTATATTTGTCAAATGGGGCAAGAGCAATATAATAGCTGTATACTCCATCTATTTGTGTCAGGTCTTTTCTTTCGGCTGTTCATTACATGTCGCCGATATTGATGGTTATCCGTTAGAGGTTTAATAAATATTGGGTCCGTCTAACGTGGATTTTTTTTTTTTTTGACAGAGTAATCTTCTTTTCGAAGAACACAGTCTTTTTTATTTATTATGAATTTATACAGATATAAATAATTTAAACACAAAAATTAATAAAAATCTTAAATGTTCATTCATATTAACTTTAGAGAATTAATATATTCTAAATGTTCAATTATTTACTAATTTTTAAAAAAAAATTATATGCTTTCACTATAATATGATGGTATACATCAAATAATGTATCCATATCAAAAACTTGGTAGATATTCTTTTTTTTTTATAAATATTCCTTTAGATAATTAACATTTTTATAATGACTGCAAATCTAGTACTATAGATTCATATTCAATTAAGTAGAAAAGATTCAACAATTCATTTTTTTCATCAACAAATTTTTAGTTTCCAACTATATTGATAAATCTATCAGTGTAATAGTTAATTCTCTTTTTTACACTAAGGCCTTGTTTGATAATTTAATTCGACACTTAAAGTTAGTGGATTCAGATCTTAATATATTTAGATATGTTTGATAATGAAAAATTAAATATCTGAATTAATTAAGTGACACTGAATTTCATAGGTAAACCTTGCTTCCAAAAATAAGTGATAAACTATTTACTTATCACTTAATATAATATATACTCAAAATATATCAGATTTAGTGCTTAACAATTTGATAACTTAATGTATTTAGAATTCAGATTTCATAAGACATTTCATAGCTAATCTTTTCCGGGTTAATTCGGACCTCGAGTCTGATTTGTCTTGGACAATTGTTGTCTGTGGATAATTTCTCTACCGGCAGGGATGTCTCGTTGTCATGAATAATGAAAATTCAACCTTTACATGTGAATCAATCTTCTTAAATAGATGTATTATCCCTTGCATTTTCTACCTACGTACTGGAATAACTACAAGGTAATAAGCCAAAATCCATCTAACAGGATATCGCTTTTACGTTTATTGATTGTTCTATTATCTTATAGTATATATGCAATCGAATGTTTTCTTCTGGTATTTTTCAATACCTAGCTAGTTGTTCCTTGATATTACCGTTGCATCATTTGATTTTTTGGAAGACTATACATCCACGAGGAATTTGAGCAATTTTTAAGTGTGACAAGGATAATTGTGATGGTCCAATGTGCATATTGATCGCCGATGGAATTTAATTTTTAATTTAAATTTGCCTAATTAACGAGGGCCTTAATTTGAGGATCCATGCATTTCTATTTGGACAAGATTATGAACATTTTGGACTCCTATATATATTACTACTAAATGTTGAAGATATAAATTAGGGTTCTACATGGAAAAGGATGATTAATGATGGGTAGGGATAATAACAATTCTTCACTGAGAAATTCGAAAAAATATAGCAAAATAAGTTAGAACAGGGTAAAACTGGGGAAAAAAAAAAAAAACTTTCAATGGGACCGGGCTAGCCGAAATCCAGCTCGTTCAGCCCATATAAAAAGTCCAATGAGTCTTATGTTTAATAGGGCCAAGCAAAGATCAGGTCTAAATACAATAGTCGAATTAAATGTGAGCTGAATTTAAACTTTACTAGGCTTAACCTTGATTAAAGCTCAGTCTGTTCATATGTATAATTATAAATATTATTATTATTATATATAATTATGAGATTAAGTCAAGCCCGATATGAGCCCGAAGCTCCGAAAGTCCCATTTATTTTTGAGTCGAGTTTGAACTTGCCAAAACCTTGCTCTTCACTAAGAAATCAGAAAAATATAGCAAAAAAACATAGATTCTTTTTTTTTTTTTTTTGGGTTTGTATCTCTTCTTAATATTTGTTGCAAAACTGTTATTGTATGTTTAAACACGTCAGTTAATTGACGAAACACAAAAGCAAGTTACACTTTTCTATATTACTCTTTCACAGAGTACACAAATGGGCAATAGAAAAGTGTATCTGGTTTTGAGTATCATATCAATACGTAGCCAAATGTTGAGATTATAAATCCTTATATGGAAGAAGATTTCACAAACTGAGATTATGAATCCTTATGTAAACATTATTCAACACTGAACCAGAAAAGAACAAGGAGAATATTTTAGGAACAGATTGTACTAGCTAATGTTGGTATGGCTAATGGACGAATGTGTTTGCCACCGCAATCAGAAAGTTATACAGCAGCATCAGGTTCAAAGAAACGAATTTGATTGAAGTTTACATGATTTAATATATCATTGAACTGTTTCAACATATAAACAGATGAGAAAGAGGCATGAAATGGTTCGCCACCGAAAATTGCTAAGAGAAACATGAATCATTATGTAATCAAACTGATTCAATATGCAAATGTAGTTTTATCTGATCTGATGAGCGGAATCCCACTGTACATTCACTCTCACCCGAATCAAGAAGAGACGTGAATAATTTATGTCAAGTGTGATGAGAGGAAATCTACTCTGCTTCTGATGAATTCGACTCTTCTTCTGAGGGAATCGACTCTGCTTCTGAGGAACTCCAGTCTTCTTCGAAGGAAATGGATGTCTCACCTCAATTTTCAATTACGACCTTTAGAATCTCATTTCCCATATCCATTTGTTCTTCCTGAATTTGCTTTACAGAACTTACAAGAGACTTGGGACACTCTTTCACCACAATCATTTCAAGAGTCTCACATTCCCCTAAACAATAAGGGACTTCTTTCAGGGTCCTGCAACCAAGCAAAACCAATTTCTCAAGTCGGGAAAAATTATCAGAATTTGCAGTCCATTTGCGAATGTCCAAGTCCGACAATTCCAGGACTCGGAGGTTAGGGAACTCCCCTTCTTTCATTACCCATTTTTCCCCGACAAAGGAGTCCTCGAGTAATTTAAGTACTTCAAGATTGGGCAACTCTCCAACTGTTGAAATTTCACTCCACGGCTGTGTATTCCATGAGAGAGCCAATTTCTTCAAATTCAATGGGAATTTAAATCCATATCCATCAAAACCATTCACATGAAGTGATTCTAGTTGACTCAAACAATCAAATGCAAGAATCTCATTGCAATTTCTGGTAGATTCTCCTGATTCGTCAGCTTTCCTGCATTTTAGCCTGCGGATGCTTGGCAATTTTGTCAGTATCTTTTGCAAGCTTTGAGAGGAGGGGTCAATTGCAAGGTTTAAAGTGTCTAAGCGATCTAAATCTGGGGCTACTTCAAGATTTCCAGCTGGAAAAATAAAACCACGACTCCCATGTAGATAACTCAATGTCTTGATGTTCCAAATAGTATTCGGCAGCATAACATTATTACACGCATCTTTTATGATAAGAGTTTCTAACCTTGAGAGGTTGGCTATTACAGATTTGATGGATGTTATTCCATGTAGCGCCAGGTACGTCAAGTGAACAAGTGATACCACTTCCATTGGAAATGATCTACGAAAGTTCAAATCCCCCAAATCTAACACTCTAAGAAGTTTAGGCAACAAAATCCCTGAATCTGCCTTCTCAAACATCAAATAATCATGTCCAGACAAGAGCAAACTGCGCAAATTGGGAAAAATTAGCGCCAACTCCCACGTCTTCAATTCCCTGGTGTTGTGAGCATAAATTCGGTGGTGGTTGCTTGGTACAGTAAGACTGAAAGGATCTTTCCAACTACGAATAACATGTAGAAAATTTTCTTCTTTGGCTTTTTCCACACAAAACTCGTGTACCAAATCATGAAGTTGGCAGGCTTTGGCACCACTCATAGTTCTTTGTTTGGTAACCATAACTAAACTTCTATTAATTAGGGCCATCAAGTGGTCGTAAGCCGCTTCCTCTAAGCTCTTTCCTTCAGTCTGTTGCACAAATCCTTCAGAGATCCAAAGCCATAATAACCTTCGAACATTAATAACCTCATCTTCTTGAAATGCACCAAAGTATAGAAGGCATGGCTTCAAATAATCTGGTAAATGACTATAACTTAGTTCAAGTGTCTTCATGCAATATTCATTGTCAAGGACACTAGAACTCAGACATTTTGCAACTTCTTCCCAGCAATCTTGTGCAATAGCAGCAAGAATTCCAGCAACAAGGACAATTGTGAGGGGTAAACCCCGACAAGATTTTGCTATTTGAGATCCAACTTCACTTAGTGTTGGAGGACAGCTTTCTTTGTCAAATAGCTTTTTCTGGAGTAATGTCCAACTTTCTTCGTCAGTAAGTTGACAGAGATGGAAAGGTTTGATATCAGGTTTGGATTGCAAAGACAAGTTCTGAAATCTACTGGTGAAGAGAATCCTGCTTCCATTGACATCATTTGGCAATACTTTTTCCAACAAATTCCATGCCTCAACATCCCACAAGTCGTCCAAAACAAGGAGATACCTAGTTCTCAGCAAAACTTGTTTTAGCTTCACAGCCAAATTATTTTCATCCTTTTTAAGGTACTCATCAGGACTCTTAGACAAAATAGTGCACAAAAGCTGAACTGACAAACTGTGCATGCTATATGTCTGAGAAACACAACACCAGCCACGAACATGGAAATGTGACATAAGTGAAGGAGCAGTATAAACTTTATTAGCCAATGTGGTCTTACCAACCCCAGGCATACCTACAATGGGAATGACATCCAGCTGCTTTGATCCTCCCATAAGTCGATGAGTGATAGTTTCCACCTTGTCATCGAGACCCACCAGATCTCCATTGCATATGGTGGCAATAAGTTGTGATGGTATGTGAATGGAAGTCTGGTTAACTCTTTGGGCTTGACCATTATGGATCTCTGGGGCCTTAATCTTCAGAAGATTGATTTCTCTAGCAACAGCATCCAAAGCATCCTCACATTTATCACCAACAAGTGTCGAGTCAATCAGTAACTCAGCCTTATATGCAGCCTCCATAACATGATGCCAGAATGCTTGGAGTTTTCCATTTTGACAGCGCTTGTCCTTGATATTCTCTAGGAAAGATCTTAAGAATATGAGATCTTTCTGGACCATTCGGATTCGATCCAATAGGAAAACAATTGAATCATCAGCCTCATCATACCTTGTTATTTCCTTGAGATTTTCTAGGAAAAAATCCATACACCCCAACTCATTAGATCTAGGATAACTAATTGATGAATATGGGGATGTTAGTCGATAGTTGTGTGCAATCTCTGCCATCATATACTTGAGAAATTTGTACAAATTAAACAGTCCAAGATCTATTTCCTTGGGCATGCCTTCTTTGATTTCATTGACAGAAAGGGAGAAGACCAGAATTGCTGCATCGCAGAGCACAACTCCAACAATATCCTTTATTTCATCACCTAGTTGCTCCTCCTGTTTAAGAAGGCCTTTCAAGTACCTTACTCCCTGATGGAATTTTAGCATTTGATCCTTCACCACAACCTGGAAACTGGCATAAGAATCTAGTAGATCTGTGAGATAATCTTGGAGAGAATCAATAAATTGGACTGCTACTGGATGCTCATTCTCCCCAAGGGCTAAAGCATATGATGATCTTGATTGTTTCTTTGAAGCTGTCAGGACATGGATGTAAGTTTCTCGGACTTGGGGACCAAGAGGATTTATCTTCTCGTGTATCAACTGATAAATTTCAGATTCCATTTGATTGTGTACTTGTTCATCATCACTGTCAAATCGGCATACAGAAATCAGGTGTGCTGCCACAATTGCAATGTGAGTCGAGAGATCTGTCAATTGTGCACAGTCAACGCCTCGCATTGTGGCAAAGCCAATGAGATTCCTTAAGAGCATTAGCTTCTGTCTAATGGCAACCATTAGCTTCTCCCGTCTATGATAGAAAAGATCCTTCATAGTCCCTAAAAGGAACATTACAAAATCCATAACTAGCCGTGGGTCTCCCGGTGGGTAATAGTCAAAGAAGATGATGGTGCATGATTTCTTGATATCTGTCTCAAGAAGAAATACAATATTTTCCCGGGATCTGGTTAGCGCACCATCTATGATGCCAAAATCTGACTCACCAGAATGTTTGTATAGAAAATAAGCAGACTGAAGATCATGAATCATCCTGATAACCACATCTTGAATTCTGGAGCAAATAATACTAGGTCTCAAACTTTCAGACATAGTATTACCCCTGTCTTCCTGATCATGTTCCAAAAGCGCTTCATGGTTATTCCTCCTCCTAGACTTTTTGACATACAAAAAGAAGGTTTTCAATGATCTTACCTTCTTCTTCAGATGCTTGACGTCACGGCGTAGGGCGCCTGTTAATTTGGATTTATCAAACTCGGCCAGAGAATCTAAAGCAAGATCAAAGCAACTAGTGCTAGTGCTGGAGGAGATGTGATGTGACTGCAGATAATCATCTAAAGCAAGATCAAAGCAACTAGTGCTAGTGCTGGAGGAGATATGATGCGACTTCAGATAATCATCTAAACCAAGATAATCATCTAAACCAAGATCAAAGCAACTAGCGTTACTGCTAGAAGGGATCTCCATAATGGTATCTTCTTGTCACTTTGATATCAGATTTCTATCTGCTTTAGCCACTGAACAAGAATAGTTCACGATCTACAACTTTCTCTTCTACCAATAGCCAACAAACAACAGGCTGGATTCTTTCTTTTTTCTTTAAAAAAAAAAAACTTTTTGTGTAAATATTATTGTAAGATGCTGTCTAGTTCGCAGAAGACAAGGTGCGGCAGAACTGCAGAAGCAATAGAAAGTCAAATAAGTGAGAGACCACACTTAACCAGCAACTTCGTAGTGCCAGGCGAAGACCATGACCAAGGAATCAAACGTAGTCATTTTACAAGTATAGGCTGAAATACCACCGGCAAATTATCAAAATGTGAAGCTTTTGTAAAATAGAAAAGAATAGAAAAAACAATTTTCTTGAGGAACCAAATGATGTTCTGTGATTAATGTGCAGCTAGCATGAATCATAAATATTAAATACAATCATGAAGTAAAGTGAATGAGTATAATTAATAGAAATGTTCAGTTTTTCTTTTTTTTTAAATAGGAATATAAAACAATTGGAGAATTAGTCAAAATCTTATAAAGAGCAAAAAAATCAATGGCAACCCTGAATCGAGTTTAATACATGACTTTTGATTTGAAGCAACGTCAACAGGAAACTGGCATAGTGAACAAAAAGTTATATATTATCAAGCATTTCTCACAAATCCTAAAGGGAAGAAACTTTATCTACATAATACTTAAGAAAATGTTGACTAGTACAATTCAATGTTGTTAAACTCAGATCGGGTCGCCACTCGCCTAATGTATTGGATTAGCATTCAAAAGGTCGGATCAGTTGTACCATTCTAAAATATTCACTGATGTTAGTGTAATGTCATAATTATTTCATATTTTTGTAAGTTTTCAAAAATATTAAAATTAATTTCTTGGTTATATTTCGATAAACGATACAAAATGTTTAAAGACATTAGGTTTGTAATCAAATATACACCTAAAAATTATATATAAAAATGTGAATTCATATATAAAATATGTCCATTCTCTAAAACTACTTGAAAAACTAAATTAAAATAAGTCATACCCAATTCAAGATCTTTCTATTGTGAATTTGGATTTCTAATGTAAGTTGGAATTTCTGATGATAAATTGATTAGGATGAAAATTTCTTGATTTAGAAATCATTTAGGAATGTGGGGTGATTTTAGTGTTTACACTAAGTGGGAACCATTTTCTTATTCCTTTTAATAAATGAAAGTTTTACAATTTAGATAACTTAAATCATGTTTGGGAAAAACAAGGAAAAAATTTAGTCAAAAAATCAAAGTGGATCATGAGTTTGGTCAAATTTTGGCGGATTTGAATGATTTTTTACCAAAATGATTTTGTATTGTTGACTAATTCGAGATGAAGGTCGATTCAGGTTCAGACTGATTGAACCGAATGGCTCGGTTCGAGCCTAACAACATTGCTACAACATATCCCTGGCCCTGGTTACATATAAGAAATTTTGCTTGAATTTCTTCTTTCTTTTTTTTTTTTGACCTTATTCTTGGAGAATTGACAACATGATTAGGAAATTGTTCAAAAATACATGCAAAAAAATGTTGTTGTTTAAGCAAGAATCCGAGACACTAGACAAGTTCTAAATTAAAGTTAGGACAAATATATAGATTCACCACAGAATTGAAAAACCGTGATCTTTAGAAATTGTTCATTGGTTGTTGAACGACTCTATACTGGTTATCAAGAAAGTCTATATTGATTATTCTTCTACAGCAACTGCAAAATTTTCAAAATATATCTCATCTTTACACTTCAACGAGACGACTGGTCCTCACTACCTCTATTATCTATTCTTTCCCCGTAAGAAGATAAAGTGAGTTAGCAGCAGGATTTCTTGGCATATTCCTACATCTCAACAAGGGATCGAGGCAAAATCCTTTGATCTCCGAAAAATCCTCTCATCGTGTAGAGGAAGCTCTCTCTTGGGATAAGAGCTCACCTCCCTTTGGTGGGAGTTCAATACCATTCAAAATTTTTCAAATTTCCACCAACCCGCACTGCTTCACAAAAATTTTATAACCTTCATCACTTTCAATCTGGTCTGCATCAAATGCAAGATTAATGCAACTATCATTGATCTCAGGGGCCATTAAGGATGTCGCTCCAGAGGGAACACAAGGAAAGTCAATAACTCCACTTTATGGTTAGCTAAAAGTCAGGTACTTCTTGATTTATCCGAACTTTTCCTTGCTCTTTACTGAGGTAACTCCTGTTCAACCGTGTCTTGTTTTTTCTGTGCTTCTTGTCTTTTTGTTTGCTCAACCGTGCATTGTCTTTTTTGTTGCTCAGTCACCTTTGTTAAACCTTAGTCTTTGTCTGTTCTTGCCTTGGTCTGTTGTGTTCCTTGTTTCTTTTTTGTTTTTTTGTGTCACGTGTCCCTGGTTAGTCTATTCTGGCTGGTAGTTAAAAAGGTATAGCTTCCAAGGTTCTTTGGTAAGGGAATACCTGTTAGCATCTTTGGAAATATCCATGGAGGTAGATCTGACTGAGTTACTACAAAAATTTTCCCTGGAGGGAAATGGGATATCGGGAGCTCATCTAGAGTTAGAGGACCTAAATAGTGGGGTGAGAGATTGTGATGGCAGTCTGATAGGAAGAATTATGGGTGAGAAAATAGCAAATTTCATGGGGGTGAAGAACTTTGTTACGGCAACATGAAGCTATCCTAGAGGTCTGCCAGTTATAGAGTTGGGGCCGAACTTGTTTCAGTTTAATATCCCAAAGCAAGAAGATAAGGAAAGGATAGTGACAGGAGGTCCTTGGATTATGGACAACCAGATTTTAGTGCTGAACAGATGGTCTGAAGGGATAGAAGATAATTATGGAGCGTTTGTAATTGCACCTCTGTGGGTTCAGATGTGGAATTTGCCAGTGCATTGGATTACCAAAGAGATAGGAAGGAAGATAGGGGCAGTTTTTAAAGAAGTCACAGAGGTCATTGTTCCTCAGGTTGGGGGGAAAGAGGGTAGACATCTGAAGACTCTAGTTCTTGCAGATTTGTCAAAATCCCTTCTCAGAGGAATATTGGTGCAAGTAGCAGGGTCTCTCAAATGGGTTGCTTTTAAGTATGAGAGGTGCCCAGATTTTTGTTATAATTGTGGAATTGTAGGCCATGGAGAACGTACGTGCAAAGCACAAAGAACTGCTTCAGGCAGTCTCTTAGAGAACCAATATGGCCCTTGGATGAAAGCAGGTAACATCAGGAGTCCTTCTAAGGACAGAGTGGTGAGGGAGGAAATGGTGAAAGATAAAAGATATTGGAAATTCCAGAATGGTGAACTGGTTGAAAGGGAAATGAACAAGAGCCTTTCTGGAGAGAGACTTCCGGAGACCCTTAGGAACACTAAGTTTGGATCTAGAAGCAATCAGGAGCCTATGCAGGAGCAGGAGGAGATTAGGGAGGGACAAGCTCAAAGTGGCCCTTCTTATGAGGTGGGAACTTGGGGATTGGAACAAGAGAACAGAGATGCTACCCAGTCTCTGACCAAGGAGAAGCAAGACCTCTCTCTGGTGGTTCAGGACACAGTGGAGGAGAACTCAATGGCTATAGGGATGGAGGGAATAGAGGAAGACAGAGAAGTGAGTACAAGATGGATGGAACAGGAGAATGTTTTAAAAGAGGTTCCAGTGCGGGAGGAAGGAATGCAGGAAGAGGCCCAATGTACTGATAAGGCACTAGGAGCTATTAAAAAACATGCTAAAAGGTCTTATAAGAAGCTGAAGTCCCCAATGAAAACAAGAAGGCCTCTGAAGGAGAGAAATGAACTGGACAATAGTATTACAGGAAGTGGGAAAAGGAAGATGTTGATCTTTGATGAGGAAATGGAAGAAGTGCACCAGCAAGAGACAACAAGTAAAAGAGCTAAGCCATACGAAGCAACTGGTGTGTCAGCTATGTCTGAGGTGGAGGTGAGGTCCTTCCCGAATGGGGCCCCTATAAGGATATGAGGGCTTTGGTGTGGAACTGTCAAGAAGTGGGGAGCCCCTTAACAGTTCCCCATCTGAGGGAGGTGAATAACCTCCTCTCTCCAAGCCTGATTTTTCTGAGTGAGACTAAAAATAGGAAGTATGTGTTGGACAAGATAGCTAGAGGGTTAAGGTTTGACAATAGTGCAGTAGTGGAAGCTATGCACAAGGCAGGAGGTATGGCCATCCTTTGGAAGGAGGAAACACTGATATTGGAAGTTAATCAAACAACTTTCACTATTGAGGGCAGAATAAAGGATGATGATTACCATTGTGACTGGTGGTTTATAGGGATCTATGCGAGCTGTGATGATCAGATTAGGAAGGAACAATGGAGAGTTCTAAGAGATAGAAGAAGGCTGTGGGGGGATAGATTCATGATTGCAGGAGACTTCAATGACATTGTGTCCAATGAAGAAAAATGGGGAGGAAATCTCAAAGAGGAGAGAAGCTTTAAGGAATTCAAGGATTTTATTGATCATACTAACTTGATACATTTAGGTTTTGAAAGCCAACCATGGACTTGGAGTAACCATTGGGAGGATGAATGAGAGATTAGACAGAGGTTGGATAGATGCTTGGCCAGTTATGATTGGGTCCAAACCTTTGAAAAAGCTAGATGTCAACACCTGGACACGTATGCCTCTGATCATAGCATACTTTGCTTGGACACTGAACCAGAAAAGGAGAAGAGGAAAAAAAAGTTTTACTTTGACAAAAGATGGTTGCAAAAGAAAGAGGTTCAGCAGGTAGTGGAGCAAGCTTGGCAGATAGATGAGCCTGGCTCCCGTATGTTCAAGGTTACCAAAAAGATCAGAAATTGCAGAATTGAACTACTGAAATGGAGAAACACCTTCCAAGCAGACTCTAAGAGAAGGATTGTGGAAATAGGCAAGGCTCTGGAGAAGGTGAGAGTCTCAGATTCGGATAACAAAAAAGAACAAGCTGCTGAGCTTAAGAACCAGCTTAAAGAAGCCTACAAGGAAGAAGAGAAATTCTGGAGGCAAAAAGCTAGGATTGAATGGCTTAGAGAAGGAGATAAAAATACAAAGTACTTCCACGCCTTTGTTAGGGGGAGAAGGACTAAGAATAGGATCAGAAATCTGCAAAGGGATGATGGTTCTTGGACTGGAAATGAGGAGAAAGTTATCTCAGAAATCTCTGG